CTTTCCCTCCCACATCGTAGTGTTTCATTTTAAACACCTTTCTTGGTGGAGCCTAAATTTATCACCAGCATTATAGAAAACACCAGAGTTGGGAACCCTGTAGAGTGAGGTCCTGGGATCATCCCAGTATGTGGAGCCTCCATAATCATAGTGGGTATTTTTTGTTGGTTATGTTTTTTCAGTTAGAAATAATATTAGTATGATTAATTACTAATTATTAATTAATAATAATATGATTCTGAAGTGGTGAATTTTAATGGAGTAAAAATTTTCATCTGGAAATGTTTCTTTTTTCTTCATCAAAGAGAAAATGGGAGTTTCTGGGCCAGTTGGAATTTCTTTGCTTTGTTATCTGTTACCCTGGTGTGGAATGATCAAATTTCACATTTCCAGGTTGCTAGGAGACAGGCAACCTATCTTGTAGATACAGGCATTAAAACTCCTTTATGCTTTATTTCTTAGAATTCTGTATTTCTTAGAATTCTCATGCTTTCTTTCTAAAACCTAAATTATGCAGAGGTAACATGATTATTTGACCAAGCTCAGGAGATAAAAGAATTATCAAATCAAAAATATCAAGCTGGAATAAAACAATATCAAACTGGGTTTAAATAAAGAACATGACTGGCTACAGTAAGTTAAGGCAACATTCTTGAAAGTAAGTCTGTATTTGCCTCTGCTTTTGCGGCTGACTCTTTTTTGCTGCTTTTTGCAACTTTTTTTTTGCTGCATTTTTGTACTTTTTGCAGCACACAAGAGTGGTTAGGTAGGAGTAGGCTGAGAATACCCTGTCTAGAGAGCTACAGATGATGTTAAAAGTATTCCAAGTGAACATGGCCCCAGGAACTCTATTTAAATAATTTACTGATTTGGTCTCCCAGGAACATTTGGATTTACTGTAGCTATTTTGTCCTTTCCTTTCTTTTGAAAGGAAAATTCATCTTATGTTACAATGCACTTATTTTGGGAGTGCCTTAGGTTTAACGTTAGATAACTAGGGTTCAAAAAAATGTGCCCAGATGGTAGATGTTGATGAAAATTTGGGAGAAGAATTCATTTGAAGTTGAAGGCTTTGCAGTATTAATCAGAAAGGTTTTGTTGGCTTCCGATTTTGCATAGCATAGAGATTGGAGGCTGAGATATTACTTTAATATCTACTTCATGTTAGGACAGGTCAGGCTTTTCTCTGTTTCAATTCAGGATAGAGTTCTTTGCAGCAGTTGGTTTAGAGGGGTTTGTATTTTACAACTGGCTCAATTGGCTCTATATATCTTGATGGTACACAGCTGGGACCCAGACCCCCAAGTCAGTTACACTGATAAATACTCTGTTAGTACTTTACAGATTGACTCCCATTCTCAGCCACTTCATCTTTTTTTTTAATGTTTTTAATTTTTTCTTTAAAATTCCTTTGTAAAATATAGACACAGAAAGCTACATAAATCATATATATTTATATAACATTTACTAAACATTAATGGAGTTGACATTCACAAAACCAGCACCCAGATCAGGTAACTATACTTCCATCACCTCTGAAGTGTATTCCCATCTGCCCACCAATAGACTGACTCTTAGCCAGTTCATCTTTTAAATGAGCTGTAGTCTGTCGTGACAGTGGAAAAATTAAATCACATGTCTTTGTTTATGAAGATGAGTTGCATAGACTATATAGACTGGCAGTGGCAGGAAGACACTTTCAATGTCAGTTATCTAAAGTAATTGGAGCTGTAGATTTGACTAGTGAGGAAGTTACTGAGATATGGAAGAGGAAGATGTATTGACAGAGGTTATATGTAGAATTAGGTGGAATTTTATGTTTTTGTAAATATCTCAATTATTTAAGATATAATTTCTATGCACAAACTGGATATAATGGTAAACTTTGGTCTTACTGTGATTTGTCTTTGCCTTAACAGATTGTTATTATTAGATTATTTTTCTAATGGAAAAAATTAAGTGATAAATGTTCATTACAAGAAATTAGAACGTACATATACACAAGGAAAAAATCCCCTCTAATTGCATCTCCTGAGATAACCAGTGTAAACTGTAGATGTTTATCTTTATAGACCTGCTTTCCATCAACATATCTGTCTTTCAAAACCAAATTATATGATTCATACGGTTTGGTAAACTTAGGTTTTTTCATGTAACAGTACAGCATGAATATCTGTTCAAGTCATCGAATTTTCTTCATTTTCATTTTTGTGGTTACTTAGTAATCCTTTGTGAGATGAACTGTAGTTTATTTAATAAGTCCCCAATGATTGGTATTTAGGTTGTTCCTAATTTTTGCTGCAGTGGCATTTATGGCTACCTTTTTTGCCTCTGATTACTTCCTTAGGATAAACTCCTGGGAGTAGAATAATTCGCAAAGGATTTGCTCATTTTAAGGCTTTTGAAACACATTGCAAAATAGCTTTCCAGAAAGGCTATTCCAGTTTTCAGGTTTTCCTCTGTCTAATTGGCTTTATGATTGCATTAAAATGTGAATTTTTTATTTAGTTGCAGAATGAAGAAGAGCCTGGAGAGCCGGAACAAGCTGCAGGGGACGCTCCTCCACCTTATAGCAGCATCTCTGCAGAGAGTGCAGGTAGGTAACAGGGTGAGGTGACTGCTGAGCTCTTGAAATGCATCAGCCAGAGGCTTTTGTCTGCCTTGTATTTGTTGGTGTTTGTGTTTGCTTCAGCTTTCCTTAAGAAGTCTTTGACATTAGTTTTAGTTTGTAGTCTGAGGTGGAAAAAAGTCACTGTTCAGAAAAACAGATAAATCCCCATTCCATTGTGGCTTTCTTAACGGAACTCAGTTTCATCCCAACAGACTCTTAATATAAAGGAGGTAGAATTCAGGAACCAGGTGATCACCTGTTTTTTCTGTTGCTATTCTTTTTGTAGTTTGCCCATTAGTTGTTTTGCCTTTTTTTTTTTTTAAACCAAATCCTGTTCTTTTAATCATTTTTTTTTTTAGATGTTGGGGGTAGGAGTTAATTAATTAATTTATTTATTTTTGCTGTGTTGGGTCTTCATTTCTGTGCGAGGGCTTTCTCTAGTTGTGGCAAGCGGGGGCCACTCTTCATCGCGGTGTGCGGGCCTCTCACTATCGCAGCCTCTCTTGTTGCGGAGCACAGGCTCCAGACACGCAGGCTCAGTAGTTGTGGCTCACGGGCCTAGTTGCTCCGCGGCATGTGGGATCCTCCCAGACCAGGGCTCGAACCCGTGTCCCCTGAATTAGCAGGCAGATTCTCAACCACTGCGCCACCAGGGAAACCCCCTGTTTGCTTTTTGATTCTAGTACCTGTGACCTGGAATATAGTATGTTAGATTTCTTTTATGCTAATAAATTCTTAATTAAAAAACTAGAAGTCTCCCAACTCTTTTCATTTTGTTTCTCATAGTTTAAACCATCCTTAATTAACCTTTCATCTTCCCGTCTTATACCAGATTATCTTTATAGTTTGCACACGCATGTTTAGAAGGGGTGGGGGAGAAGAAAGGAAATTGCAGTAGTTCAGGACTTTTGGTAATTAGATCTTTATGATAACCAGTTCTGCTTTAATTGACCAGTTTTGATGGAACCTCTTCCATATTCTCTGAAACAACTGTGGCAGAGTGGCAAGTATATGGCTGATGGTTAGAAATAAGAGTGGTGCACACATGTTGGTAGGGGGAAAAAAGGCACAAGTCACTATTTTGTATACTCACTTTACCTGTTTTAATTTGTGGTGTATAAATTTGGACAGTCTAACAAGTGTTGGATTTTTGTTTGTTTTGAATGTGCTAAATAAAATGGAAAAGATTGTCGTTAAACTTTTCATGGAAACTTAAAATTATGTGAGGTGTCTATATTGATGGATCCCATTTTTTAAAACTCCGTTGAAATAGGGAAATAAAAATGTTCTTGATTTCCCTCAACTTAAGGTAGTAAGGGGAGTTCCCTGGTGGCCTAGTAGTTAGGATTCCGGGCTTTCACTGTCACAGCCTGGGCTCCTTCCCTGGTCGGGGAACCTAAGATCACGCAAGCTGCGTGGCACAGCCAAAAAAAAGTTTTCCTTAAGGTAGTAGGTATCAGTTTTGTTCATGTATTCAGAATTACTGTGGCTATGGGTGAATTCAGATGGTACCCTTCAATTTGTAAATTAACTTTTAAATTAAAAGTAAAAAGAAGGGCTTCCCTGGTGGCGCAGTGCTTGAGAGTCCGCCTGCCGATGCAGGAGACGCGGGTTCGTGCCCTGTTTCGGGAAGATCCCGCATGCCGCGGAGCGGCTGGGCCCGTGAGCCATGGCCGCTGAGCCTGCGCGTCCGGAGCCTGTGCTCCGCAAATGGGAGAGGCCGCAACAGTGAGAGGCCCGCATAACGCAAAAAAAAAAAAAAAAAAAAAAAAGTAAAAAGAAATTTTTAAGGAAATTATATATACAATGTTTTATATACACATACATGCATGTATATATGTATGTGTATGTGTAATGTATGTAAAATAGTTATTTTGACATAGAGAAAAACAAATTTCTTGAATTGGATTAGGTGGCAGCTTTAGTTTCAGTAACACATTTTCCTAATTTTCGTCTAAAACCTTTGATATTTTATTTTTCCCATTTAGATAGATGGGCGTTCCATCTGGAATTGTTTTTTCTGTGTAGTGTGAGGTAGTGGTCAAGGTTGTTCTTCCATATGGATGTCCATTTGGTCCCACACCATTTATTGAAAAGACCATTCATTCTTCTTCCACTGCTGTAATGTCACCTTTGTCGTAAATCAAGTGACTCTGTGTGTGTGTCTGTTTTCTGGACTAAATATTCTGTTCTTAGGTCTATTTATTCATCTTTGTGCCTGTGCTTAACTTTCTTAATTCCAGAACTTTATAATCTTGATATCTGGTAATTAGGTCCTTTAGCCTTTGTGTTCTTCAAGATTTCCTTGATACTTCTTGGCTTTTTGTATTTTTATTTACACTTTAGAATCAGTTTGCCAATTTCCATAAAACGGATGAAACAAACAAAAATTCTGCTGGAAGTTTAGTTGGGATGGCATTGAATCTGTGTATCAATTTGAAGATAATTAACATCTTTATAATGTTGCATCTTCCAGTCTATGTTAAATCCCTCCCACTTATTAAGATCTTCTTTAATTTCTCTCAATAATATTTTGTGAGTTTCAGTATAGAGATAATTATATTTATTCCTAGGTATTTAGTGTGTTTTGGTGCCGTTATAAAAGGTCCGTGTATAATTTTATTTTCTCTTTGTTGCTGGCATATGAAAATACAGTTGATGGTTTATATTAACTATATGTTCAGAGACTTTCCTAAATTCATATATTAATTCTAATAGTTTGTAGACACTCTTGGGTTTTCTACATATGTAATTATGTCATCCATGATTAAGGATAGATTTCTTCTTTTCCAATCCTTATGTCTTATATTTTCTTTTCTTTCCATATTGTATCAACTAGTAGTACCTCTAAGATAATGTTTGATTAGAAGTGGTAATGGTGGGCCATTTTCGTCTGATTCTCTAATCTTAGGGGAGAAAGCTTTTAATAATTTACCATTAATTATGATATTTACTCTAGATTTTTCATAGAGATTTGTGAGAAGGTTAAGGAATCATAGTTTTCTTTTACAGTATTCCTAATTTGCTAAGTTTTTTTGTTATTAATAGGTATGTTATCAATGCTTTTTCTGCCCATGTGAAGACAGTAGAATTTTTCTCCTTTTTTCTGTTAATGAGGTGAATTCTATTGATTGATAATTTCAGTAATATACTACAGTAAAATTGGAAGTTAGTTATAATTAACCAAAGAGAAAAAAGAAAAGAAAAATGTTAATCTTGATGAAGTATAGGAATTTTTTCAAAATTCTTGTGTTTTCAAAAATTGTATAGAAATTTAATCCATTTGTAAATAGATCTTTTCTAATAATACATATTGAATCTTTTATAATAGAAGTCAGTGAGAATGAAGATGCAGTATTAGAAAGAGGGAATGCAAGATTTCACACAAATAAATAATGGTTCTGTAACTGAACCTGTAATTACCTTAGGCATGTCACAGAAAACAATACATGGCAAAAATAATGTGAAAGAATCAAAAGGGTCAAAATCTGTGAGAAATGACTTTTAACTTTTTTTCAAGTTTATATTCATGTTTATAAATGGGAGGACACCATGGTACAGATTTCCAAACACACAGGTGAATTATTTTTAGCTTAAATTTTACCTTATTCCATTATTAATATTACACGCCTTTTGTGAACACACCACATAAACAGCCAAAAAAAGTGTTCAAAAGCACTTGGGAGGGCAAAGTGAATGTGGAATTTAAATAATTGAAAAGTGGATACATTTAAAAATCATTCCCAGTCTTATGTTCATCTTTAAACACCTTTCGATTCAATTATTCTATATGTACTGTTAGAGGAATGGCTGGTTTTTGTTTGCCAGAGTTAGCAGAAATCCTCTTTTTCCTCATTTCAGCTAATCTTCAGATTATTGTGACTTCCTTTTTATTCTGCAGCATATTTTGACTACAAAGATGAGTCTGGGTTTCCAAAGCCCCCATCTTACAATGTGGCTACCACACTGCCCAGTTATGATGAAGCTGAGAGAACCAAAGCTGAAGCTACTATCCCTTTGGTTCCTGGAAGGGTAAGTCCAACCTACCATGTTACTTGGTGCTGGTTTATGGGAATTACGTTCTTTGCATTATCCACTTTGTGATATTACTTATGATTAAATTGATTAGTAAAAGTACAGCTAGTGTTTAAAAGCAGATACATTTTCTTTTGGGATAATAAACTCTTATCTTTTCCTGAAAACGATGAGGTAAAAGATACAAATGAGCAGAAAAATCACTAGTCAAACAGCTCATTTTCCCTATATCTCTCCTACTGCCATCACTTTCTCAAGTCTCCTGGCATGGCTGAAACATTTTGGAGCAGGAGCTGATTTAGGAAATACACCAACTTTGCCTTGATTCTGCACACTTAATATTTTGGTGTTAGGTAGATAGCTGCTAGGGAGTCTATGGAGAGGATAACTAAGTGGAACTTTATAGAATTAAACTCAGAAGGGCTCTAACAATCATCTGGATGAACCCCATGCCACCAGCGGTCCAGATCATGCCATCTGTGGAGGTGCAGTGAATTCAGATCCCATCTGGCCTGATGTTAATTCATGGGAGTGGGGGTGGGGTGTGATGAAAGCCAATGGAGAATTTTGGACACTCTTGGTTCGTGATGTCAGGCCTATAAGTGATACAGTTGTGTTTTCATAAATATTCATTCAGGTTGAAGCTGATGCAGCTGGGGCCTTGGGTGAGATATTGAGAGAAAGGAGAGCAGGATCCAGTCCCTAGAAATGTGGGGCAATCAAGGCTCCAGACCCTAGACCTGGCAGGAAACTAGAGTAAAAGATAAGAACAAGAACAGAAGTTCGGTCTGGGCAGTGCAGTGACACAAGCCCCAGAAGTTCGGGCCTTAGGATAGCAGACTGTTTGCAGATCACATTTACTATGAGGGGTGAAACTCCTAAAACCACTGCTTGGCAGAAGTAATAGTTTATAAGCCTAGTCTAGGCTGATTCTACCTGGTGAAATGCATTCACTTCTTGTAGGTGCTAGGGAGAAACTAAGACCCCTCATGCAGCTCACTCTCTAAAGACAAAACAGTCTTAATATAGTTACCGTGTATTGGAAGCAAACAGCATGGTTGGTACTATGCTTGATGCTTACATATATTTTGTATGTTGTTTCCAGTCTTCACAATAACTTTGCAAAGTAGAGATTATATTCTCCCTATCTTACAAATGCAAAAATTGAGGCCCAGAGAGATTAAATAATTTGCCCAAAGTCATATAGCTAATAAGTAGCATAGGTGAGTCAAACCCAGATATTCTAGACTCCAAAGTCCTTGTATGTACTCTCCAGACCTCTTGGATTATGGTAGCTGTCCCATGAAATAGACCAGGAGATTAGCTCTGGTTAATCACAGAACTCTTTAGAATACTTTTATTTGACAAGTGTACACATTTAAGAACTTCTTAAGGGGTTCTTTTATTCAGCCAACATGTATAGAACACTTTTTTATATAATGTGCTATGTATTTTGCAGTGGATAGGTGGAAGGCTTTGTATAAAGCAATGCTCCTGCCGTACAAGAGCTTAAAATCCAGCTGGGGAAAAGGCCCACGAAGACCTATATCTAAGGAACAGCACAAGAGCAGTGAGCGTTAAGAACTGTGACTTTAACTTTGTGATCACAGGGAAGATGGGATTTGAAGTGGGCCCCGAGTTTTGATGGGTAAGAACATTCCAGAAGGAAAAGCTCAGAAAGCAGATGTGAACCAGCCAGGTGCAGGGCAGGTTCTGTGGTTGTAGTAATTGGTTTTGCTTGAGCAAGGAGTTCGTGACCGGAACTGTAGGTTGTAGAATCTTCTGAATGCTAGGCTGAGGCATTTAGACTTACATGTAGGTCACACAGAATCTTTCAGAGTTTTTAAGCATGAGTATGATAAGACAAGTATGGTGTTTTAGAAACATTAACCTGGCAACAGTTTGTAGGAGGAATCCTGGTAGTAGAGATACCAAGGACAGAAAGAACAGCTAGAAGGCATGTGTAATATTTAATTAGGCATTACTTCCATGTATTTTTGTAGTACATCTTTGAGTAGTTATGCAAAAAACAGAATTACTTTCTAATTTGGCAAAGCCTATATTTCTCCTACTAGTATGAATTCATAATACTAGCTATTTCGTATTTTTAAAAATATAAAACAAACACATTCTTATATAAATTTCAAACAATAGAGGAAAGGTGTTAAATTAGATGAACGCTGCCCCTGCCCCTTCTTCTTTAGTTCCCATTCCCCAGGGGAGCCAGTTGGCAGCTTGTTATGAATTTCCCAGTCCTTTTTCTGTGTAGGGCAAGTTTTGGTTCTCCCTAAAGTTTATTTATTTTTTTTCATTTGAGGAACCCTCATTGTACTGTGTACAAGTCTACCACTTTTACTTTTAAGCGTATATTCATTTATATTTCAGTATCTCAACACATACCTACAATTAGTTGAAAAGGTAAGTTCATTGGTGTCATTGTTGGTGTCATTGTTGGTCAAGATCATCTTCCTTCTAGACTTGCAACACTGTGTTTTCAGGTTAGGATGGAAAGGATCCTATCTGCCGACAAGATTGGAAGTGAGGTTGTTTCAGACCTATGTACCAATATAAACAAATGGTTATGGAGCAGTGGGCAGCGCTGTTAGACTCTTCACGTATGATTACACTATCTTCTTCCACCCCTCCACCCCACCCCACCCCAAGTCAGTCTCATAAAGCACTTGAGCTAGTCAATGGTATCTTCTTAATAGGCCCAGGATTACTAATATTCTGGGCTAAACAGGCCCTGGATTACTGATATTCTAGAATTTAAGCCAAATGTGTAAGAAAATTTTCTTTTTCTTCTCTTTATGTATATATTTTCTTTATATTTATATATATATAAAAGGAAGAGTGAATAGTTCTTTGTGAACTTCATAATTTTTGAAGTGTATTGTTAAAGAACTTGGGTTATAAAGTGGAAAATTCCTTTCACTGAGAAAAAATTATATCTTTTACTTATAAGACAAATGAAAATTGTAACATATAGTTAAAGCCTTAATGCTCCTAGTTTTGAATTGAGCCGAAGCAGTATATTTTCTCATTGGAACTCACTTTTGTCCCTTTCTCTGTTTTTCTTGATGTCTTTCCTTTGCCTTGAAATAATTTATTGTGAATTTACCTTTTCTTTTCATTTAGGATGAGGATTTTGTGGGTCGGGATGATTTTGATGATCCTGACCAGATGAGGATAGGAAACGATGGGATTTTCATGTTAACTTTTTTCAGTAAGTATATACACACAGCAGAGCCACTTCCCACAAACCAGAGTGCTTTGGATTATGAGTGAATGTGACTGAATTAAAAGAACTAGTTGAGCTAATACATTATATTTATTACATATATTTAATACATTATATTTATTTTAATACATTTTATTTAATGTATTATATTTGATGCCTTTTACTGAGATGTTCATAGCTTAGTACACTTTTAATATCCGTTCTCTTTGTCTTTTATTTCTGTGAATACCTATGCATAATATAATTAACGCAGTTTTGGGGGATGCTTCATTTTTACATGATCTAATAAGCTTCATTTTTGCAGTCTTCAAGGCCCCTTAGCATTCCTCCTACTCATTCCTGACCGTGGAATAGGAATTAAATGCCTTCGATGAATTTTATTTTGCAAGCTTCTATTTTCTAATACATCAAAGTCAGCCCGATTTTTCCCCCTTGATGTTATTTTGCATTTAGGTTTCCATATGCCTGACTTGGAAGTGAGCAACAATTTCTTTAATTTGCTGTATTAAAAAGATATGAAGCAAATGCAGTGCTTTTAGAGGTGACATGTTACATAAGCTGTCAAAATTCATAGAAGCAGGAGGTGAATGACTTGAATCAGATTATTTGGGGGCACTAATTTAATGTTCAAATAATGTTTATTTACTCAGGTGTAACACATACAGTAAAGGGCACAAGACATAAGTATACAGTGTGGTGATATTAAGGCATTTTTGAAAGCATGTAGCAGTAGATGTAATAATATAACACCTGATATTCAGAGACTGTGTTTTCTTGTTTGCTTTTGGGAGGAAGACAGAGGATGGATGTTTTGGGGAAGTGGGATAACTGTTTTGGAGGGTGGGCTAAGCCATTTAAGCAGAAGCAAGTACAGAGGGCACCCTTAGGGCACTCTTGCTCCTTGGGTAACAGGACATGTCTGACCTCTTTTTTTCTCTTGGCTTTTACAGTGGCATTCCTCTTTAACTGGATTGGGTTTTTCCTGTCTTTTTGCCTGACCACTTCAGCTGCAGGAAGGTATGGGGCCATTTCAGGATTTGGTCTCTCTCTAATTAAGTGGATCCTGATTGTCAGGGTAAGTTGTGCAACAGTAATGATAGTCTGTAGAGAAGCAATAAGTAGAATAATTTTGAATATTTGATTTTTTTCATCTGCTTTTTGGAATCATTTAAAAATGATTTTTGGTTTGTCTTTGTTCTGGTTTCATGAAATTGAACCTAGATCAGTTGCAGTTGGTTCATGCACCCAAGTTTTGTAGTCAAATCTAGTGAATATTGGTGGTCCAAGGGCATCCATCTATCCTTGTTCACCAGCTGCTTTCTCTGTTTTTAGTGTTTGTAATGTGATAATACATGTATTTGTTCTGAAATTAGTTGTTTTTATAATAAAAGAAAGACTCTGTCACCTCTCTGGTATCTCATCAAAAGCAGACATTCCTCTCATTAATGCTGCTGAAGTTTTAGTCTTTCTTCTCTCCTTCCCTCTCTTCTTTTCTCCCTCCTTCCTCCCTCCCATCCTTCCTCCCTTCCAGGATTGGTTATCAGTAGCGTCATTGGTTATGCCAAAATGTTTGGAGAGCCAAAACTGTTTAACTGTTTAACAAGCCCTACTCCATTAGGGGCCCTTATCTCTAAGGTAAATTAGAGATCTTCAGTGATGTAGGAGTTACCAGTTAGAATTAATTTAGTTAGAAGTAATTTAAAGTTGTAAACTACCTAGTCTCTTAAAAGTGTCCTCTGATTTTAGATAGGTTTACTGCCATTGTTAACTTTATATATAAAACTAATGTGTTTATCATAAATTGACATTAACTAATTAATGGGTGTTGACTGAGCATTGGAGTTTTTCAAAGTTATTTATTCTAAAGGAATTGTTAACATTTTTAGAATTCCAGGTTCCTTTGAGAATCTGATAAAAGTTGCATGCTTTTCTCCTAGATGGCTAATGTGTACTCAACTAAAACATGGACTTTAAGTTAAGAACTCAAGCTCTAAATAGGTTTTTCATTCTTTCTCTATAAACCTTGTTATTTTATTAAGAAATAAAATACTGTATTTAATGCTCAAACTGTGCTAAAGTCCATACTGTGTTAAAGCCTCCAATAGAAACAAGATCAAATTAGTTACCAATCTTTTTATTTTTACTAAACTTTTAACTGAATTGAATGAATCAGCTTGTATTAGTTAGGATGGCTTTTTGAGTAACAGAAAACCTAGCTCAAAATGGCTTAGAAAACAATGGGGAAACTTTATTTCCAGTGAAAATAAGTCCTGACATGGAGGTTAGTTAAATGTTTCACTGACATCATCGAGGACAGCTGACAGTCTGCTCAACATGTCAGTATAGCTGCTCCACCCTCAGGGTTAAGATGGCCAAGGCAGTTTCAGGCATCACATCAGAAACACAGCAGGTTCAACAGAAGAAAGGGAACTATTTCTTCTCCTCCTTTTCTTTTTAAGAGCTAGGAAACCTTCTCAGCAGCCCTCAGTTCCATTGGCCAGAATAACATTATGTGCTAGTCCCTGGCAAAGGAATGTGATCATCATGATGTATGTGACAAAAGTTTTCCACGGTCAAGACATGGCTGGAGGCATAGGAACAAAATCAGGGATCATTAGAAAAGGGGTCAGATAGTTGGGTTTGGCACTGGGTAAGCAAAATGAAAGTTATCATCAAGACATATTTCTAAAAGGGAAAATAACATGTGGGCAAAAAAAAAAACAATTTTTTTTAAGAAACAAGCAGGTTTGAGCACTTTCAAAACAAGGCGTATGTAAAGCCGAAAGCTATCATATTTCAAGATTGCTTTTCCATGAAAGAAAATATATTTGCGTATATCGTAATCATTTCAAATCTGTACTGTATAAAATACTTTCACTAACTTCTTAGAAATTTCTGTAAGAACTAAATGAATAGCATTAGTATGCAAGATAAAATCTTGTATTTTGTAAACTCTTAGGCTAACATGTGAAATTGTATCTGCTGTGGTGCTCTGAAGTATTTTGCTTTATTTTTCAGTTTTCCACTTACTTCCCTGGATATTTTGATGGTCAGTACTGGCTCTGGTGGGTGTTCCTGGTTTTAGGTAAGTGCTCTTAACAAAGACAAAGGAGAGGAAAGATTATGTTAAATTTTAGTAAGTAAAATTACTTTTAGTAAGCCCTCATCTCACTTACTATACAGTAATATATTAGCAATAGTAAGTACAATTTTTAAAATATTTCAGGGATTAGGCTCTTGTCACCATCAGAGTAACATAAATGTTCATAGAACGTCTCTTTAGTGGTGATAAATTTCTCTTAACCCGTCCATATACACTTTTCACATTTCCTGTGTGGCCAGAGGGGCACTGCTCTGCTTCTGTGACATCATTTTCTCCTATCCTAACATTTCTCCTGTTTCAGGCCTTTTTGTTGTCTCCTTGATTAGGTTCCTTGGTTCCAGGGCTGCTAATGGGTCTGGCTAGCACAGTGTAGAACCCGTGCCCGACAGGTGCTTAATATATTCAGAACGTACCTGTTTTACCTCGGGTAATAGAGCCATGTATTGCTGACCCTAAATTTTACTTAGAAAATACAAGTCATCCATGATGCCATCCCCCACCTCCCCAGTAGCATCATCTGCTCTACTATTGGTCATTGGCATTCCAAGGAAAGAGAGTAATTTTTACCCCTTCCCTTGATTACTGAGAAACTTTTTTTTAAAGTGACCTACAGGAGAGTTACTTGAGAGGAGTAGTTCCTTGACTTGCTTATTCTCTAAACTGTACCTTTAAGAGAAAGTCTGACTCCTCATCTTCCCCCAAGCCACCTAAAGTCCAAGCAAATCCTGAATAGACCAAAGAAGAGTCATTAAGCATAATTTTAGGTTGATTGTTGGCAGCATTGATAATTTAAAGAAATTTAATGGGCTGATTTCCTTCATATATTAAAGTTTCATCGGAGATGAATTTATAATACTTTGTAATTGATCATTCTTGCTATCTTACTGCTTACTGATAAGCAAAAAGTAGTGAGACCTTGGATGTACTTAGTGCATTTGGATCCAGTGTTTGGGTCATTTTTGGAACCTCTTGCAGAGAGAACTTTTTTTTTTTTTTTTTTGAGTTTTTCCTGCAAAGAACAGGTCTGTACAAAGTTCTCAAGCTGGCAGCTCATAAGCTATAGCTAGCCTGCAGTTGTGGTTTGTATGTTCCACAGTTATTTTCAGAAGTTTTATTTTGTTTTTGCGGTACGCGGGCCTCTCACTGTTGCGGCCTCTCCCCTTGTGGAGCACAGGCTCCGGACGCGCAGGCTCAGGGGCCATGGCTCACGGGCCTAGCTGCTCCGTGGCATGTGGGATCTTCCCGGACTGGGGCACAAACCCGTGTCTCCTGCATCGGCAGGCGGACTCTCAACCACTGTGCCACCAGGGAAGCCCCAAGAAGTTTTTTTTTATTACTAGTAGTTGTCTTCGCATGAAAATCAAGAATTTTCACATAAAATACCTGAATTTTTTAACTTTTCAGAATTGAAATGTCTAGCAGATCTGACTTATATTCCCACATGGCACCCATCCTTTGACTGGAGCTGGCTTGTTGATTTCGGTGCCAAACAGGATGATGTTGTGCTCAGTGCTGATGATTCTTGGTTACTGCCAAAAATCATTTCTGTTTGAGTACAAAGAGTCTTCTACTTCTTGAGTATATTTTAAAATGTATCCAAAAGAAAGTGATTGCTTAGAGCTGGGGAGATGGGAGGAGGGTAGGAAATGGGGAATGGCTGCTTAGTGGGTACAAGATATTTTTAGGGGCGACAGAGTTCTAAAATTGGATTATAGTTTTAACTGACTAAAAGCCAGTGAATCATACACATTAAATGGGTAAACTTTATGGTATGTAAATTATATCTCTGTAAAGGTGTTTAGAAAAAATGTGTCTAAGACTCAGGGACCATCTCTGGAGGAGGAGGGCCAGGAGTATGTGAGCTACCATTGGAGGGGGCTCTTCACCTTCCCTGCTGACTCCTAAATTAAGAGTAGAGAAATACAGTTGAGAATATGAGAATTGCTGTAAAGGTAAGGGGAGCCTGACATCTAGTGGACAACATTATGTACTGTCTATGGGAAAAAAAGAAGCCCACAGCAAGAAAGGATGGAATTTTTTTTTTTTTTTGAGAAAAACAGTTTATAACCTCTCTAAAAGGAGTATATTATCTTGGAATACTTTTTTGGAACTCAGAAGGTAGCTTTTGGGAATTGCCTGGTGGTCCAGTGGTTAGGATTCCGCCCTTTCACTGCTGAGGTCGCAGGTTCCGTCCCTGGTTGGGGAACTAAGATCCCTGGAGCCGTGGGGCGAGGCCGGAGTCGGGGCAGGGGAGAGAAGGTAGGTTTTGATAATGCTTCTCAATGAGGCTTCCAAATGTAAATGTTTGGCCCCATCTTATTTTTGTTTCCTTTTTAGAACACTTAGATTCTGAATGTGCAAAAGAGACTTTGTTTTGGCTCTTGAGATTATGTATTCTCATTGAGAAGTGGAAAATTTGGTGTGGAAATCCTTTGGAAATTTTAGAGGCAATTGTGTTTTGATAGCTTTTAGCAGAAAAATGATAAAGTATTGGTATCAGAAGGGATATTTCTGGGGAGTGGACTTAATATGGGAATTATAAACTCATTCTTGACTTTTCTTTTTTAAATTAGGCTTTCTCCTGTTTCTCAGAGGATTTATCAATTATGCAAAAGTCCGGAAGATGCCAGAAACTTTCTCAAATCTCCCCAGGACCAGAGTTCTCTTTATTTATTAAAGGTATTAAAGAAAAAAACTTTATTGTAGTCCCAGTGTAATCATGTGATGCATTGCAGATGACTATTCAGGTTTAGAGTAGAGTTTACACCCTGTGGTAGGGGATATGGAGAAGGTAAGGAAGCCTTGTCTTTTAGTTTCTAGTTTAGTAAGGGGTGTTTCTTTGAAAAAAACTATTAAAAAAGGCAAGTTAGAAAAACTGCCAAAGGAGAAAACATTATCTCATGTTCAGACAATGCAGAAGAGGCTCGACTGGGACTCAGGGTCCTAGATCTTTGAATCGTGAATCCCGAAGCCACTGCTGCAGTTTTACCGGTTCCAGAGTCTGTAGCGAGAAGGAGCCTTTCAGGCCTGATCACTCAGCTCAGTTATGTGCGGCCCTAAACCCCAGAGCTGACAGGACCATGAGTACTTTAGGAACTCCTTTTGCCTGGCCACTGACAAGCCCATCAAGGCTTCCGTCTTCTCAGATTAGTCAGAGAGGCTTTCCTGACCTCTTTTCTTCAGGTTCCCATCCTAATGTTACCATTCTGGTGGTAGGGTCAAACCCCAGGAAAGGAAGGGGAGGAAAGGGCCTTTTCCCTTGCCTAGAACAGGAGGACTAAGCCTTGCCAAGGCTCTTTGGTTCACCCGTGGTTTTCCCCAGAGGCTGACTCCATCTTACATCACTAGCTACAAAAAGGAGGAGATAGGGAATCTTGGAAAAGAGTACACCAGAGAGAGGCCTCTGGTTACAAGATCTAACCTTCGTGGAATTGACTGTTTATTACTTAAGACTGTTGAGGACAGGTGGGACCAGGCTGGTTGAAGGCCTCAAGCAAGGATTTGTGAAGGTTGTAGCAATTGAGATAAACCTGAAATGATAGGTAGGAAGTATAATAAATGATCGTGGAAATTGTTGGGTGAGAAAGCATTTCACAGTCACCTAAGGCCAAGCGTTGAATAGGAATAGAGGCAGAGAAGTTACGGAGCTGGCTTAAGGGACAGCAGTGTGATTGTAGCATAAAGGAGTGTTGAGGATTAAGGCTGGAAAGCCAGGCTGAGACAGTGTTCTCAAATATCTTGAGCACTAAGCCCGTTTGCAGTGGAAGTTTTGAACTCATAAAGCAGCCCTTTAAACCCAGTGACGTGTTGGCTCAACTCAAGGCTGACTCCATGTGAGCATCAGTTTGTTCTGTATTTGCTGTTGGGTTATCATAGTTTATGTAAGTAATCATATGCTAAGAGTGTAGTTCTCAGTTTTGAAGATTTGCGGTGATCTTAGCATGCAGAGTAGAGTTCTCAGTTTTGAAGATTCGTGGTGGTCTCAGAATATATGCTTCTAGAAAAGAAAGTACCGTATTTAATTTGCCAGGTGGTGAGATGGTATTGAAAGTTTTTAAGCAACAGAATAATATGATGAGAACTTCTTAAATGAAACAAAAATTTTTTCAAGCATGGCGTAATAGTAATAACTAATGTTTGTCAACTTTTTGATATATCAGATACTGTACTAAGCACTTTACATGTATAATTAAATGTTTTTACATAAGTAACAAAGGTTACAGTGACAGATAAGCTCAGGTACATGCATGGTAGAGTATATTCATAAGGCATTTCTTATAAAAGTTAAAGAAAGCATGGAAAGAACTTAGTTTCTGTTGGTTAAAGTCAGTTTCTTCAAAGGAGCGTGGACTTTTATTTGAGAGATCATTTTAGCCATTAAGAATACCACTTGTGTGTATGATTTTTTTTTTTTTTTTTTTAAAGAAAGGGAATGTTTTGTTGCATGTTTAAAATGTCCTGAGTGGTGTGTCCTGAATTTGAATTCAGCTACACAGTCTGGGCACAGATGGACACTGACACCACTGGCCTAGGCCCTAATGCCTGTGATGTGCCTGTGTTTGTGTCTAGGACATCCTAACTTTAAGAGGCTTGTCAGATATTTTGTGTGGTTTTATTGTAGTTAACCATTGTCATCTTTTTTCTTCCTCTACATATCTGATTATAATTTGTAGTTACTTCTAAGCCCTAGGTTTAACTATTAACTACCATAGATTGAAAAGTTAATTCTTGGGCTTCCCTGGTGGCTCAGTGGTTGAGAGTCCGCCTGCTGATGCAGGGGACACGGGTTCGTGCCCTGGTCTGGGAAGATCCCACGTGCCGTGGAGCGGCTGGGCCCGTGAGCCATGGCCGCTGAGCCTGCACATCCGGAGCCTGTGCTGCGCAACGGGAGAGGCCACAACAGTGAGAGGCCCGCGTACCGCAAAAAAAAAACCAGTTAATTCTTTGGGGTCGCCACAGTTCTTCTTAGGATGAATGCTTGAAATCACCTGCAGATTTCCCCTAATCCATTGGTGCCCAACATATCCTGAGGGAACAGATTCCTCCTGCCCTCCCTCCCTCCCTTTCTTCCTTACTTCACAGATTCTATAGGTCTAGTCTAATGGTGGCTTTGAATTTCTAAATGGAATGAGGCCACACCTCTGTCTGTTTTCTTCATTCTTCAGTTAGAAGGCAATTTCAGGCTTTATTAGAGGATGCATACATTCTTGCTTCTAATACGTGACAGGTTGACATGACAATACAGGTTGAGAGAAAGCCTGAACTTCTCAGTTTTCCTGTATTGTTAGGGACTTGGAGGGTTTTTTTGTTTATAAAATTTGTTATTATTGTTTTGATTTTCTAAAACTTCTGAAATGCTTTATGGGTATATTCTAAATGTAAAATAAAGCATCTTTAGGGTTATGATTTGAAGTAGGCAGCCCTTAGTTAAGTAATAATGCTGTTGGAGGGGTAAAGGGATATTATAGACCTGGTGTTCCTTGTATTTTGGAGTCAGAGGCCTTACAGTGCTTTAGGCATTGTCAGAAACTTAGAGGTATATGAATAAAGTTCCCCAGTGGAGGGCATAGTAGGGTTTCTTTGCTTTCCTGTCTGACTTTGATATCCTCATTGATTTGAAATTGTCCCAGACATGCCCAGAGGATTCAGAGCTCCAAATTAGGGGTTTAGGGACTTACAGCAGCATTTAGAATTTTAATAACTTCCTTACTAATTTTCAGTATCCCCAGAGGGAACCCAAAAAGCTGTAATATCTCCTGGGACTGAATTTCCTTTGTCCATTTGACAGGGGTAAGAACTGTCCATCCAGATCCAAAAGTAGAATGTTTTCTTTCTTTAGTTCAGAGGAAATTTAGTTTAATTTAGTTTGAAGATGTACTAGAAAACCATCATGTAAGGTGTGAAGATTTTCTTTTCTTTCACTGAGACCTTTTACTTTCTTTACTGGAGGTATCACTAGTTAAAAGCTAGCTGTGGGCTTACTTTTTGCCAGAAAGCCACAGGTAGGAAATTTCTAAAATAACTTTGCCATAGAGAAAAATAACTCAATTCCCATGCTAAGATCTGGCCCTGTACTAGAAAAAAGTATAAGAATAGTGACTTTTCTATTTAGGCTGCCCAAAATATAGCACACACACACACACACACAGACACACACACACAAACACAGAGACACATACACACACCCAGACACACACAGACACACACACACACACACACCGTGAAATGACCTCAAAAGGCCTTCTTTCTAACCAGCCAAAGTAGATATTACAAGAGTTGAACGCTAAAGCTCACGTACTGCTATCATAGGGCAACTCTCAGGTTCCCTTTCAGAGCTTATTTATAAGCTTATAAAGGAAATTTGGGTTCCTGCCTCACAGCAAAAAAAGCCAGAAGGAACTGCTAGAGCTGGGCACAGTGGCAGCAAGAAGTATGTGACTGTGAGGAAGCAGGAAAAACAAAATGTTCCTTCTATGTTGTTTAAAAAGAAACAGATACCTTTTAGAAACGTCTTTATCTGAAATGGTCAAAAATGTAAAATGTCCATACTTTATCTTATTTACCAGTTAACTGGAAAATAAATTTTTACGGAGTACCACTTCTTTTGATGCTGCCAGATAATTGAGGAGCTAGTTATAGTAACTGTAAGGTGGTAACACAATTAACTGATATCTAACACTACTGCAAAAGCACTTGTATATGTGAAGTATAATGGATCTTAAATTTGTTACTTTAACCACATCTGAAATAGGAGGGAAGGAAATTTGTAACCCCTCGCGGCATTAATGAGATAGGGCCCTTCATAATTAAATAGTGATTGCTGTGACCTGGTGAGCTATACATATGAGACATCAGATATCTTCTTAACTTTTTTCCATATAATGATAAATGTTTTCATTTCCTTTTTTCTATAACCTTCCCCCCTCCTCCTTAATACATCTTTATTTTTAATTCACCTCAAGTTAGTTTGACTTATTTGGACTGTGTTGTAAAGTAGCAAGATAGTAGAAAATGTTTCCAGAGGAATTTTTGCTTAAAAAAAAAAAAATCACAGTGTCCTAGAAGAAATTGTTGTCTTCCTCTTGAAATTAAATGATCTGTAGGCTGTTGGATTCCTTTTGTTTCTGAAGTGATGTAATCTAAAGTTTAGCAATGATATACACAGTCCCTAAAACGTGGCATTCTATCACTGTTTTTGTAACAGCTTTGTGAGTCAGGTTGATCTGAACAGGCCTCTGGGTCTTAGAGAGCAGTGAGTGCCTCTCTAGCAATCTTTTTCATTTGGAATTTGTATGGTGATTGAGATCACCCATTAGTAACCTATCTAGGACCTCTTAATGGATTTTTTTTTTTAATATTATAGTTGATTTACAATGTTGTGTTAGTTCAGGTGTACAGCACAGTGATTCAGTTATACATATTCATACATCTATTCTTTTTCAGATTCTTTTCCCATATAGGTTATTACAGAATATTGAGTAGTAGGTCCTACAGTAGGTAGGACCTCTTAATGCATTTTTAATGTTTGTTGGGTGGCTCTGACTTTGAGGGATCTATTAAAACTAATTTGCCTCCATGGAAGCAGCATGAACTAAAGAAAGTGGCCAGGTGAACTGTATCTGAACTGTATCTCATATTCTTGCAAAACTCTAGTGTTTTGACTTTATAGTAATCATT